ATGGAAGGGGGGAGTCTCAGGGTTGACGTTAGGCCCAGGGAAGCAGGTCTGCAGGGCCAAGTCTCTTAACCAGACCTCCTATGTCCTAGGGAGCAGCGAATGTTACCTCTAAAGGTGAGTGCAGACATCTTCAGCATGCACCCTCAACCCTGAACCCCAGCAGTCCTGCCAGGGCCCACCACAGCCACAGCCCTGCAGGCCATGGACTCCCTCCCAGCCCCTATGCCCCACTTTGCTGATGCCCCTGCAGCTCTGCCTCCAGTTGAGAGTAGGCCTGAGGGGACCCCACTGGGTACTTTCCAGGGTCTGCACCAAAGTGGGAAGCTCCCAGCCTGACCTCACGATTACCCCTCATTTGGAGGTCACGGATAGCCTAGCTGGTGGGTCCTAGCAGAGCACAAGTCCTGGAGAGGAGGGGTGAAGCACTGGGTGGTCTGCTTTAGGTTTCAGGCCTATGCACCCCCACCCCCAACCTCACAACCCCTGTGATCCCTGCAGCCCAGGGCCCCAAGCCTCCTTTGTCTAATCCCCTCCCAGCCCCAGCTCTATAATCTGCTTCTTCTAGCAGGAAGGAGAGCCTCTCTTTCCTTTGTAGCCCCCACTGGGAGCAACTCAGCTATTGAGGTGAGGAGGGGCTGGGACAGGGCTGAGGGTAGAACCCTGTTGGGAAGGCTGGGGGTGGAGGCCTCATGGACTGGTGTCCAGCATTGCAAGGAAAACTCACTGAACACATGTGCGCAGCACCATGCTGAGTACACATCTTTATTCTGCTTGCACACTCAGCCTGGGGAAGGCTGCTGTGAACACAAATAACTGCCCTGGGTCCTCTGCTCCCCATCCCCTGTCCAGTGGCCCTGCACACACATCTCTGAGCACCTGTGTGTGTGTGTGTGTGTGTGTGTGTGTGTGTGTGTGTGTGTACACATACAGGACGGCAGCCTGCTGGGTCAGCCTTGGTACTCAGGGAACAGTGACCGTTATGCTGTTGAAAGTGCCCTGCTTCGATGCCAAAAGGTGGGCAACCACAGAACCCCAGGGCCTTCTTGAAACCCCTTCTGCTCATGGGCTGTGGCTGGCTGAGCAGGCCAGGGGGCAGCAGGGCAAGAGGGGAGTCTGGCTATCAAGGGTCAGGGTTGTGGACGGACAGTTGGAAGATAAGGTTGATGGATGGGTCTCCTCCATAGGACGGGGCCTACACTGTGCGCCCTAGCTCAGGACCTCATGGCTCCCAGCCCCTCACCCTGGCAGTGCTTCTCCATGGCCGTGTCTTCAACATTCCCATCCGGCGGCTGGATGGTGGGCACCACTATGCCCTGGGCCGGGAGGGCAGGAACCACGAGGAGGTGGGTGCTGGAGGAGGTAAGGGACCAAAGAGCAATGAAGACACAGCAAAGTACCCTGGGCCCAGCCAGGAGTATTTGCCTAGGGAAAAACCCACATTCCATATTTTTCTGGAGTGGGTGAAAATGATAGTGGCCAGTGACCTGAATCCCTTCCCAGAGGTCCACCTTCCCCTGGGGGAGGCACATCCTCCTGAATGACTCAGTCTGCATGGGCCCGGGTGGGGGCATTTGTACCTGTAATGAACCAGCTGGGAGGAGCGCAGGGCCTGGGTAGTCCAGACTTCTGTCTGTGCCAGGCCTCAACTTGCACCCAGTACTTGCTGGGCTGCAAACTAGAGACAGTCACCGGCCATTGGGCTCCCCATGCTGGAGGACAGGGGCAGAGGCACATCCCCAGAGTGATTTCCATCTGGCCTTAGAAATATGAGCCTGGCCAACAACGTGCCCACAGGTGTAGTCACAGGAAAGTTGCATGAGGCCTGGAATTGGGCAGCAAAATGGCAGTGGAGCCTCATGGGACAAACAGGAAGGAAAATATTTGTAAAAATGTCAAGGCCCCTTGCCAGAGGCCCGCAGTTCATTCAGGAAGTTTCTCCCAGCATGAGGCTCCAGGGACTCACTGATGCCCTGCCTCTCGGTCCAGCGTTTTTCCTCTGTGGCCGCCATGGTCCAGCACTACATGCAGCACCCCCTGCCCTTGGTGGACAGACACAGCGGCAGCCGGCAACTCACCTGTCTGCTCTTCCCCATCAAGCCCTGATGCCCCAGCGGATGTCCATGCCCACCTCCAGCCCCGTCAGTTGCTTCTTGCCCAGTCCACCTTGGGCTGTGTCTCTCTCGCCTCTCCCAGGTCTCCACCCCTCCAGGCCCTCCCCTTCCCTTGCCCCAGTCCCTGCAGCCCCAGATGAGAGGTACTGGCAAAGGTTGCCCAGAGACAGAAAGGGTCCCCGAGACTGCGTGCCATGCTTACCCAAGGGCCTGGCCCTGCGCTCCCTGCTACATCTCCAAGGCTGGTCAGGCAGGGCCCCCATACCCAGCCCTCGGGAATGGCTGTGTCCACCCTGTTACCAGGGCCTCCCAAGCTGGTTGGGATGAAGGCATCCTTGCGGAAGCTGGGTCTCTTGGGAACAACACAGGCACTGCTGGGACACAAAGAGAGAATCCCCTGACATTCTCTTAGGGGCTTAACACTGGTCTGCTATCTGGGAGGGACTTAGTAGCCCTGCATGTGGTTCACTTTCAATAAATATTTGTTGAATAAATTCTTGAATTTGCTAAGCAAAGCAGAGGAGGCCTCCATGAGGCTCCAAGGTTCTCAAATGTCCCAGGGCACAAACTAGGCCTGGGAGTGATAGAGCAACGGTGGCCAGACTAGGGCAGAAAGCGCCAGCCCCATTTCTGCCTACTGATTGGGGCATTTGCCCTCAGATGGGGGTGGGGGTTGTCGGAGAGGGTAAGGCAGGGAGTTCAGTGCTGTCTCTGCCACCCCAGTAAGAGATGAGAATGGAGCTAAGTACTTTTCCACCACCTGTTTTCCGCACAGTGTCCCCCCAGGGAGGGAGGCACCTGATTTTGCTCACTTGGTGGTGTCTAGTGTAGGGGAGACAGGCGGACTCCAGGAAACGACTAGATATTGGGCATGCCAGTACCAGGAGCAAGAGCTAAGGAAGGCTCAGCGGTGGCACTCCGAGAGAACGAAAGGCGGTCCAGACGCGCTGTCTGAAGCTAAAGTTGCGCGAGGACCTGCGGGCTCCAGGGATTCAGGATCCGAGATAGGAGGCGGGGCCGAGGCGGGGCGGGGCGGGACCGAGGGTGGGGGCATCCGAGCCTGGCGCGGCGCCCGGAACACCCAGTGCCGGAAGTGCCATGTGACCATGACTCCGCAGAAACAAAGGGCGGCTTTGCCGCCACCCGGCGCTCGGGCTGGCACGGAGGGCCCACATCCCCTACACACGCCGACCCCTGGCCCTGCCCCGCGAAGGATCCTGGGCTCTGATCAGCCAGGAGGCGCCAGATCCCACCGGGGCCGGGGGTCTGGAGCACAGGAGGCCGGAGAGACGGGGAGGGGACACTGTGGAATGCAAGTGGGAGGGGGACGATCTTGGGTCCAGGCTGGGCCGTAGGGCATTGAAGGTTGCCATCGTCGCTGCTGCCCTGGCAAATAGCCCTCTCTGAGCCTTGATTTCTGTTACAGAGGTGAAGATAATCGTCCCTACGCAATTACCCTAGGGTTAGGAGGCTTAAGTGAGGCGCTCCATGTAAAGCGGCCAGGACTGTTCAGGGCCTGATGGGCAGCACTCTAGCTCCCCTCTTCCAAATAAGTATGTGAATTGGGTCAATGAACTGCCGCTTTCAAGTCACTGCAGGAGTATAGTTTCCTGCCAGGGCACCAGGAAGAGGAGCAGCATGGGGCAGCTAGCGCAGGACAGGGTGAGGGTGGGCCCTGCTGTGTACCGTGTATGTGAGGAGGGGATTAGCAGCTGGGAGCTGTAGCAAAAGCAGGAGGACAGGAGACCCCAGGACAGCCTCCCTCAGCTCTGTCTCCCTCTAGGCCCTGGATGGGAGTGCCCCCTCTTTTCTACACTTCCCCCAGCCTGACTCAGGTGTAGTGGCCCTCACAAGGGTTGTCTGCTTGGTCCAAGCTGGGGGACTCACTTTAGGAACTAGCTTCCATTCCTTCCCTCCCTGCGAAGAAAGCGGGGGAGAAGTACTCCAGGCAGTGGGGACAGTCTGTAACAAGGGACCCTGAATGCCAAAAAGAGCATGGTCTGGAGCGTGACTCAGCCTCCTCAGCTTGCAGTTCCGAACTTAGATGTCCCCTTTTCCAGGAAGCCTTCACAGTTCCCCCAGCCTGGGCTCAGGCACTTAGGACACCCTCTAACAATGGCCTTTTCACTCCCAGGAAAGGACCAGCTGTACCTACTGCCACTATTGTGTATCCAGGGCCTAGAATATGTTGTAGTAGGTGCCAAATATTTGTTGAGTCACCGAATATGTCAAGTCTACCCTGGATTCCTCTAAAGCTGATAACGTTCCTCCATCAGGGTTTCCAGTGTAAGAGAAAAGTCTAAGCCAGTGCTATTCAATAGATGTTTCTGTGATGACAGGAACACTCTATATACGCATTGTCCAGTATAGTAGCCACAAGAGTTATCAAGGACTTGAAATGTTACTACTGTGACTGAGGAACTGAATGTTTAAAAATAATTTAATTATTTTTAATTAATTTAAATAGCCACATATAGTTCATGCTATCCTATTGTTCCAAGACTCTTGCCTTCCCAAATGTGAGGGGCAGTGATAAGAGGGGAAGTTGGTCTGGGGGAGCCTGGGAGGCCATCATAATGAGTGGGCAAAGGGGAGCTATTGAGGCTCTGAACAAGGGTGGGTGCAGATGGAGTGCTGTTTTAGGAAGATTGTTCCAGCTATGAAGTGCTGAATGGGTAGAGGGCAGCATAGAGACAGGGAGAACAGTTAGGGGCTGCAGTTATTTCAGTGATTCAGGTGAGAGATGACACCCCTTGGTTTTTACCATGTCGATGTCCCTCCAAACATCCCATTCCCATTACCTCTCACCCAGCAGGCCAGACTCTAGAAAATTCCAGGGAGAGTCACCAATTAGAGGATCAAGTCTTGGAGTAATGCTATTTGGTGAAAAAGCCTGTATATTACTGAGAGTGATTGCCTGTCTTCATTGGCTCGGAAGGGGCTGTAGGACCTGGGGGAGCTGAGGAAGTATGTAACGGGAAGGGCATGAAAACCGGGGCTACTTACTCTGGCAAGACCACACCTGCTCAGGTCAGAGTGTGCACAATGCAGCCATCTAAAGAGGCAGACCGACCTTGGGCAAGGCCTGGGCTCTGGAGTGCAAAGGACCCGAGTTTGAATCTGGCTTGGTTACTCACTGCCTGCGTGACCTTAATCTCTCTTCACTTTAAAACGGGGCTAATAATACCTACTTCTTAGGGTTGTTGTGAGAATGAGAAACAATGTATATGAGATAAAAAACAGCCTAACACAGAGCCTGACACATAGTGGAGCCAAATAATTCATACTTAATAATAATCCTAACTGTGAATAGGCCAAGACCGGTTCTGGTCCCACTTGTGTGCTCCATGTTCAAGGGCTCCTGGTGACTTGGGCTTCCCCAAGACACACACATACACATCACCTTTAGGTATTATACGTACTGTGATTGTTTTGTTTGCCTGCCTGGCTTTATCATTGCCCTCTTCCTGGTGATACTACCGACTTCCCCCACCATAGGACCAGGCATGTGATCTAGGTCTGGCTAGGACTGAAGCAGGGCCAATCAAAGCCTTCTCTGAGATGGATATATTGATGTTGAGAGAGAGAAGCCCCCTTTCCAAACCTGAGTTTGGGTTGCAAATGGCCACCTTCCCTGCCACGTGGACAGAGCCTGTCTACAGAAGTCAGGCAAAGACAAGGAGGAAAATAGTCTTGGGTGTGTTGTGTCCTGCCCCAAGGTCCCAGCTTTTGCTGTAGTGCCCCTCCCGGCTGTGTGAGCTAGAATTTTCTCTTTTGGTTTAAATTAGTGAGAGTATGGCTTCTGATATTTGTAAAGAAGATGCCTGCTTGGTACAGGCATTTGTGTTCTTGAAGTTTACATCATCAGAGGAGTTGCCTAAAGCACAGAGTTAGTGGTAGAACCAGAAGTCAGGCTTATCTGGCTGGCTGTAGGGCCACCATAAACTATATGAAGCATCGTTCACAAGGATTTACTGAGTGCACACTCTGTGCCACACACCAAGCTAGCATCTCATTCCTCCTCCACCCCTACTGAAGGGCTCTCCTCCCCATCTTCACTCCCACTCCTTAAGGTCCCTTGATTCAGGGGGCATAAAAACAGTCCTTCTCCACCAGGATAGGGCCCAGCATACTCACTATCTTTCCAGAAGCAATACTTTCAGAATCCTCCTTATGTGCCAAGGATATGAGAGGAGTCAGCCACATGCCAGCCTACCCAATCTACCTACCTACCTATCTACCTCTTCTACCTATGTACCTATTCTACCTACCTCCCTACTCTACCTACCTACCTACCTACCTGCCAGCCTACCTACTTACCTACCTGCCAACCTACATACCTACCTATCTACCTACTCTATCTACCTACCTGCCTACCTTGGTCTGCTCAGTAGAGAGTAAGTCTTAGCTCTGGCCCAGGCGCAGAGATCCTGCCTGCACCCCATTGTGAGCAGCTGTGATCTTGCCGCCCTGATGGCCACAGTGACTGTTTATGGGGATACTGAGGTCATTTAAAAATTACTTTTGATCTAAATTCTCCCAGGTGTTCTCTTTCTCTGCTTTGCAAACCTGGTTGTGTAGAGAAAGGGGTGTTGGGAGGAGGACTTCAGAATCGTGGTTTCCAAATCTGGTCCTCAGAACCACCATGGACCATGATGATGATGTCACCAGTCAGTGACAAAAAGAGAAAAATACAACCCCTGGAGAGAGCTTTTTTTCTGAAGCAAAGGATCATCCTTTAAAGGGAAATCGAATTCTTCCTTTTTGTTATTAAATTACACTTTCTTTCAGGTCACTTGATTTGGCTGGGCCTCATCTTTAAAATGGGGTGGGAAAGGCAGATAACCTTGGAAGACCTTTCCAGCTCCAATATTCCGAGATCCTCGGGACCCTGGACCAAGCACACTGCTGCCTGAGTTTATGTCTCTCTCACAGTCTGGCGTGGCGCCCCCACACTCTCTGTCCCCACCCCCCAAACTGTCCCTGCTCAGCCCCACCAGGTTGGCTCTCTCAGCTGAGCTCTCGTGTGTACACCTTAGGGAAGAAGCACCCCCTCCGCAGTGCACTCTGGATTAAATGATAACTCAGGACACAGAGTTTATAAAAGGCAAAGGGGTTTTGAATAGCCTAATGTTTGTGGTGAGAAAATGAGTGGATCAAGCCCAGCCTCCACGTAGGCCTGGAAGTTAGAAGGACAGAGGTCAGAGACCAGGAGCAAAAACCCAAGAACAAACACCAACAAGGGGGCTGGTTGGAGGGGGGGAGTGTCGAAAGAGATGGAAGTTCTGGTGAAGAATGGCATCACAGACTCCAACGTCTGAGCTGGGAGCCACAGGCCCAGCTTGTCCTGTCTCCTTATGTTACAGATGAGGGAATTAAGGCTCAGGGAGGGGAGGGGAGTCTGTGATAGGGTGAGGAATGGGGATGTACATTTTTTTCTCTCTCACCACCTGAGCTGGGGGTAAGCTCTGGGGATGGAAAGCAATTGAGGGAGACTTGGAAACCGAGTCCAGGAGAGGCCAGAGGCACTAAGTTGGGGCTGCCCCAGGCTCCAGGCCCCCCATAAACCCTGTGTCCCTGCTCCCCAGCCTGCTCACTGTGCTCTTTCTCGGGTCTCCTTTCCTTTGCCCACAGCCCTCAGCTCAGCTCTCAGGATAGCACAGACAATGGCTTGGAGCAGGAGGCTGGCAGAAGAGTACTGCCCAAAGAGTGAGGGAGGCTGATGTGTACCCTTGAGGCTCTGAGAAGAGGGGAGATGAAAGGGGACCATCGTTGC